GTCATACATTCAGATACCATGCAATAATCATGTTTTGTGTGCGTGCGTGTGTGAGTGTGTGTGTGAGAGTTCCTCTGTGTTGGTGTAAATGTGTGGGTTGTATTTGTGGGCATGCCGTCTGTTTCACCAGTAGATCATGTGACTCAGAACAGATGGTTGACCCAAAAGCAATGTATAAAAATATATCCCCCCCAAAAAGAAAAAGAAAAGGACTTCTGTACCTTCATCCCAAAATAACTCGAACAACGATGCTATAACTCAACAAAGGGCTGCCAAATTCAGTCTATTTTCAGATCTTCCATAGAAAGAAAGCCATTCCTTCACTCATATACTTTCCTCAACATGGCTTAAGAACTGGAAGTTCAGGAGTTTACAGTGCATTCGGAAAGTATTCAGACCACTTGACTTTTTCCACATTTTGTTACGGTACAGCCTTATTCTAAAATTGATTAAATAAATAAAAAATCCACACTATACCCCATAATGACAAAGCAAAAACAGGTTTTTATACATTTGAGCAAATGTATAAAATAAAACAATAAAATAATACCTTATTTACATAAGTATTCAGACCCTTTGCTTTGAGAGTCAAAAATTGAGCTCATGTGCATCCTGTTTCAATTGATCATCCTTGAGATGTTTCTACAACTTGATTGGAGTCCACCTGTGGTAAATTCAATTGACTGGACATGATTTGGAAAGGCCCACAAATGTCTATATAAGGTCCCACAGTAGACAGTGCATGTCAGAGCAAAAACCAAGCCATGAGGTTGAAGGAATTGTCTGTAAAGCTCAGAGACAGGATTATGTCGAGGCACAGATCTAGGGAAGGCTACCAAAAACTGTCTGCAGCATTGAAGGTCCCCAAGAACACAGTGGCCTCCATCATTCTTAAATTGAAGAAGTTTGGAACCACCCAGACTCTTCCTAGAGCTGGCTGCCAGGCCAAACTGAGCAATTGCTGGAGAAGGGCCTTGGTCAGGGAGGTGACCAAGAACCCGATGGTCACTCTTACAGAGCTTCAGAGTTTCTTTGTGGAGATGGGAGAACCTTCCAGAAGGACAACCATCTCTACATCACTCCACCAATCAGGCCTTTATGGTAGAGTGGCCAGACGGAAGCCACTCCTCAGTAAAAGGCACATGACAGCCCGCTTGGAGTTTGCCAAAAGGCACCTAAAGGACTCTCAGACCATGAGAAACAAGATTCTCTGGTCTGATGAAACCAAGATTTAACTATTTGGCCTGAATGCTAAGCGTCACGTCTGGAGGAAACCTGGCACCATCCGTACGGTGAAGCATGGTGGTGGCAGCATCATGCTGTGGGGATGTTTTTCAGCGGCAGGGACTGGGAGAAGTGTCAGGATCTAGGGAAAGATGAACGGAGCAAAGTACAGACAGATCCTTGATGAAAACCTGCTCCAGAGTGCTCAGGACCTCAGACTGGGGTGAAGGTTCACCTTCCAACAGGACAATGACCCTAAGCGCACAGCCAGACAATGCAGGAGTGGCTTCGGGACAAGTCTCTGAATGTCCTTGAGTGGCCCAGCCAGAGCCCGGACTTGAACCCGATCGAACATCTCTGGAGAGACCTGAAAATAGCTTTGCAGTGATGCTCCCCATCCAACCTGACAGAGCTTGAGAGGATCTGCAGAAAAGAATGGGAGAAACTCCCCAAATACAGATGTGCCAAGCTTGTAGCGTCATACCCAATAATTATCGAGGCTGTAGCCGCTGCCAAAGGTGCTTCAACAAAGTACTGAGTAAAGGGTCTGAATACTTATGTAAATGTGATATTGAAGTTTTTTCTTTTTGAATAATTTGCAAAAATGTCTAAAAACCTGTTTTCACTTTGTCATTATGGGGTATGTGTGTAGGTTGATGAGGGGGAAAAACAATTTAATGAATTTTAGAATAACGCTGTAACGTAACAAAATGTGGAAAAAGTCAAGGGGTCTGAATACTTTCCGAATGCACTGTACACGTGTTTAATGACTTACAGGACGGGATGAATAGACAGAGTTCTGGCTATAGACAATACTATCGAATGGCAGGTTACTACTTTTCTTTCTAGGAATTGCAGAATATACTAAAGAAAACAATCATATAGCCTACATAAATGTCTATGTTAGAAATACTGTCTGTCTGACCACCCGCCTTATACAAACAAAATTCCTTGAAAAGTCAGCTCAGCATTCTGGAATTCCGAGGAGAGAGGGGTAACATTCCAGACTGGTGAGACATTGGGAAAACTGTGCCGGGAAAGGCCACAAAGGGGGGAAGCCAGGAAAGGCCACGGAGGGGGGAGGAGGAATGTGAGGACGGAGGGTAAATTTGGAGAGGAGAGGAGGAATTTGGAGTGTGTTCCATGTCTTCTGACGTCAATGTAACATCCCTGCTGTCATGCTCCAGGGAACAGGACATCCTGCGGGTCGGGGTTCATCCCAACAGTCTAAACTGGCTTCCTCTCCTCGTCTCCTTTACTTCATCTGCACTGATCTGGAAACATTGGGGGGATGAAAGCAATAGAGTATAATGGGGAAAATGTCTCGTTGGGGTCTACTTTCATCTATCCTGGGTTGCTAGATCAGTACAGATGCAGGGAATGAGAGGAGAAGAGGAAGCCACTTTGGAATATTGGGATTGTTCTTGTTGGTGTCTTGCTGGAATCTTGCTGGATTCCATGGAGGACATGGATTCCTCCACATGAGGCTAGACATAGAACCTCCAAAAAATTGAACCTATTATCAGCTACTTTTCTGGCTAAGTTTTTATCTCAACAGGGCTTTTTATTCAACCTTCAATGAAGAATACCCCAAACCACTGAAATGTATGTCAGTTATGCATCTATGAATTGTATTTTCTGTATTGTGTATTGCGTTGTGAAGCTTTAGGTAAGGTTTCTAATGTATTACAAATGGTCATAAAAACTTGAACTTGAACTGCAAATGCGTCATGCTTTTCCCTTGTTGATGTCTCTCTTACAGGTCCAAAGTTCAAGAGAACTATTGGTCAGGTTATATACAGAAAAGAGGTGTAGCAATGTGCGTTAAAGGACAATAATATTCTGAATAAGATCCAAGTTACACAGGGAGGGAGGTTGCGATTCATGCTGAGATCGAGGCTGTGGTGAGTGGGGGTTATTCTCTCTGCAACAACATTCAACAATAACACCCTCTCGCTTCTGCTCTGCTGTCTCTCTCAAACACTGTGGGATTTCCATTTGAGCATTTGAGAGAGAGATTCACAGAGAGAGATTCACAGAGAGAGAGAGAGAGAGAGAGAGAGAGAGAGAGAGAGAGAGAGAGAGAGAGAGAGAGAGAGAGAGAGAGAGAGAGAGAGAGAGAGAGAGAATAAAAGAGAGAGAATAAAAGAAAGAGAGAGAGAGAGAGAGAGAGAGAGAGAGAGAGAGAGAGAGAGAGAGAGAGAGAGAGAGAGAGAGAGAGCGAGAGAGAGGGAAACAAAAACAGACAAAGACAAAAAGAGAGACTCAGACAGAGAGCGTTGTCCCTATCCCCAAATATCCCTATTGTTATTAGGAAGAGGACAGGAGAAAGAGGACGACAGAAGCTGAAAAGGAAGGGATAGAATGAGTGGGCGGAGGAAGGATAGTTGCACTTGCAGAGAAGAGAAGATGGAGTGAGCGAGTGCATGAGTGGGTGGATGGAGGCAGGCAGGTGGGCCGGGAAAGGTCTGACGCAGTCTGGATGAAGCGGGGGCGGAGGGGGGCGGAGGGGGGCGGTGCTATATTTAGCACCCGATGGGAGAGGTTCTGGCTTTTCTCTGCCTGTCCACGTCACCGATTCTATGCTGGCCCTCTGGGCGTTACCATGTGACAGGTGACAGCACGCTGTTCTTTATCAATGAGGAGACTGGACTAGAATACTAAGCAGAGGAGCAGAGAAAGACCTGATGCTGTGGACAGTACAGGATACAATAACTTAAAATAACGATTTGAATATACTGTCGAATACAATAGAACAGAAAATTATAGAATAGGGTCACTGATTATTAAATTTACATTTTAGTCATTTAGCAGACGCTCTTATCCAGAGCGACTTACAGGAGCAATTAGGGTTAAGTGCCTTGCTTAAGGGCACATCGACAGATTTTTCACCTAGTCGGCTCGGGGATTAGAACCAGCGACCTTTCGGTTACTGGCACAACGCTCTTACCCACTAAGCTACCTGCCGCCCTATTATGATTAATTTGCTTATTAAATTCCTGATATGTGAAATGCTTGGACCTTAGCTTAGTGCATGCGCATTCTATTATAGTCATAATGTGGATAGACAAAGCATAAACAGAAATGTGTGAGCAAATCTCCTACATTACATATCAGAGTTACAGCATTCTAAATGAGCTCATTCTCAAATAAAATCAGTGTGCCAGCACGGAGGTCATATCTTCTTTTGTCAGTATAAATGATAGTTTGTATATGTGAAAAAAAATTTTTAAACAGGCAACATTGTTGCTTTTCCGATTACATCACCACCTTTATGAATGGCACAGTGCTTGGGGGTAGGCTACAAGAACGAGAGCGAGTCCTGTCTACACGTGGGTAGCAAGTAGAGCTGATAGGACCATTTAGTCCAACACTAGGCACTCACAATTGATTGGCTAGTAGGGACAGTGGGAGGATTTAACAGTCATCAAATAGAGATGCTTTTACGCATTGTACAGTTCAATGTGTAGGTTTGAGTCTGAGGAAGACGGGATAGCCAAGAATAGGCACTATAGGGCAGTCTATTGTGATTATCTATCTTCAGTTATCACTCAGTTACATATTTGGAACACACAGTTCAACTCATAGGCTACTGTACTTGGCTCCATTGATCAATAAAGACAAATAATTATTTATATTTCGTCTTCTGGAAAACGGCAGAAGAGTATCGGAGTTGTGCGGTCAGTTCCAAATAGCCTACATTTAGACAAGAGGACACTAGCGACTCTCTGATACTCCGACCCAAATAAAGTGCAAAATAAAGCGCAGCTCAGCGAATGGACCATCATCAACTCCGCACACGTAGCTTCATTCCTTGTGCGGCTCCATTCTGCGTTACTGGACCTACTGAACCATTCATGCGCTTGTCCATCAGCTCGACCACAGGCAGCCGCTTCGAGCTCTCTGTCCATCAGGGAGAGACCGTGGAGGTGCTGAGGAGACGACTTTCCCAAAAGCTCAGAGTACCGAAAGAAAGATTCGTCTTGCTGCATAAGGAAACGTGAGTAGCCTAACCCCACTGGGCACATACGTCCATTTCAACGTCTATTCCACGTTGGTTCAACGTAATTTCATTGAAAAGACGTTGAATCAACGTTGATTCAGTACATTGCGTATGATTTCTTGGGGACCAAATAACAGTTCTGATGTAGGCTTTTGTAATACATATTGGATGCAATATCATGTAATGTATTTTATTTCTGGTTCTGCATGAGCCTATAACTTCATTGTCAAACAGGCCTAAATCATAAATGAGATGCATTTAAGTGCAGGTGTTCTTTGTCAAATATAATTTTAATCTCTCATGTGTATACATGTAGTAATGATCATGTCCTCTTATGTGCCCACAGGCGGTTGAGTACAGGGACACTCCATGACCTGGGCATAGTTGATGGGAGTAAACTGACACTGGTCCCAACTATTGAAGCAGGCTTGTTATCAGTAAGTCATATATTGTACAGTCCACAAATGGTAAACAATGTTAACACCAGGTATTGAGTAAAGGAAATATGTCCGTAATGTTATTTATAATGTATAAACTTCAGCCAAGTGGTCTGGATCCTTATAGCACAGGTGATATTACTACTGGTGCTCTGGCAGTTCTCCCTGAACCACTTTTACAACAGAACCATGTGTCTGTCTGGGGATGTACTTGCCAGCTTCTATCGGCATTGATCTATCATATGTGATCTTAATCAATACATTTATTCCATGTTGTTAGCGGTTAGAATCTCTCTCTCTCTCTCTCTCTCTCTCTCTCTCTCTCTCTCTCTCTCTCTCTCTCTCTCTCTCTCTCTCTCTCTCTCTCTCGCTCTCTATCTTTCTCTCTGATTATATTGAACTCATTATCTCGTACTACTTCTCTCACTCTCTATAATATGCTCTATCTCTCTCTACCTCTATCTTCTCTCTATAATAATCTCAGCGTACTCTGCTCCACTCGCTCTCTGAGATGAAAGCTGCGAGCAGCTCTCTCGCTCCTGATAATATATCGAGACGATCGTACAGAAAATGGCGTACTAGCGCGCTCTGATCGCCTAGCTATCCCTCTCTCATATATGATAAGAGAATCTCAGTCGAGTCGCGCTCTCGTGCTCTCGCTGCCCGCTCATATAATAACTCTAGTCTCCGTCTCTCTGCCTCTCTCTGCTCTCTCCGCTAGAGATCTCAGTCTCGCTCCCAGCGATGCTATCTCGCAGCTCTCGCCTCCATCGCGACGCTCATATAGAGACTCAGATCTCTCATCCTATCTTCCAGAGAAATCTGCGTATACCTCCATTTATCTCTCCTCTAATAGTATACTCTACGTCCTCTCTCTCTCTCGTCCTTCTCTCTCTCTATCTCTCTCTATATATAATCTCTATCTATCTATCTCTCTCTATCTCTCTCTCTCTCTCTATCTCTCTATCCCTCTATCTCTCTCTATCTCTCAATCTCTCTCTCTATCTCTCTCTCTATATATCATCTCTATCTCTCTCTATATATATATATATATATATAAATTCTCTCTATCTCTCTATTTCTCTCTCTATCTCTCTATCTCTCTCTCTATAAATATATGCCTATTTTTGTTTTCTTTGCTTCCTTAGTCCCAACTATCCAGAAGAGAGCAGACCATCATGCAGGCTTTGGAGAGTTTAACTGAAACTCAGGTAGGTCTCTGATCTTTCACTGGACGTCTGTGTCATAAGATAAGATGGCTGTGACACTGTTGTCTCAATGTGGTGCGATTGAAGGCCTATGTAAATAAATAAGTGGCATTTTCTTTCTGTCTTCATCCGTACCAGCTCAGTACGGCTGGGTTATTTTCATGAAACAGCAAGGTTGTGCTTTTGTGGTTGTGTGTCTGCATATGTGTGTGTGTGTGTGTGGTTGAGCTTGGAAGGAGTGACTCAACTCAACAAAGAACAGTTTTCTAAGAAATGGTAGTTCTCACTACAGTCTGACTGCCCCCGCCCCTGACTGCGCCTCATGCACACGCACACACATACACACACACACACACACACACACACATGCGCGCGCAGTGACCTAGCCTCCACCACAAGATGAAACAATCACCGCTATATACAGTATATTGGTTATATTTACACCAAATATCAGAAGCCATTTTGTACCCGAATGCTCCCCTCACATCATATATTACAGTGGAGAGGTGAGCGGTTCAACAAGACTGTTGTCTGTTGTGTCGTGACCTGCCGTCTTTAGGCCTGATGGCCTCTTTGTCATTGAAGTGTTCTGCTTCGTGACTGGGCTAAATGGAGACACCAGACTGATAATAACAAATAACCTCAATTGTAATGCCTCTGTGTCCATAGCAAGCAGTTAGTTCTCAGTAAATAGCTCTGAATGTCTGGGGCCATAACACTAGTGAGAGGGTATCAATATGACTTGTCTGTTTAAGCTTATTATATCTTGGATCATTCAGGACCCTTGTAATGGAGAGAGGCAGCAGTAAATTAATAAGTGCTGTAAATATATTAATCAAGCTATTCCTCCCTTTCTGTGTCTGCAGGTCAGTGACTTCCTGTCTGGCCGTTCACCCCTGACCCTTGCCCTCAGGATCGGTGATCACATGATGTTCGTCCAGCTCCAACTGACCCCCCAGAGCGCCACTGGGCAGCAACAGCAGCAGAGGCACCTCATCGCCCGGCGCACAGGCAGGTCCACCAGGTTCCCTTACCCCCCCCCAGCCCACCTCTCCTCCAACACCCCTCTCTCCCCTCAAACCCCCTCCTCAACCTCTCACGTCACCTACTCCTCTCCCTCACCTAGTGCCCCCCTCCGCTACACCAACCCCACCTGCTCCAGCCCTGGACCCCAGAGCCCAACCCCTGCTGCCACCTACCCAGAGGTGAGACTCAGATTTTGCACAGATTATGAATATTATTATTATTATGTGAATATTATGTGTGTATTATCATATGCTAATGTTAGTTCAATACTTCAAAGCCTCATCCTGTTACTAAGGCAGGGAATAACTTTTCAATATAATGTAGTTGCAGATTTATTGTAATATTATTAAATGACAGGTAGTCTACTGCTATTATCATTATACAGGCTTTTGACTAGAGAGGGAGTATCTTATATACAACCCTTTCGCTGTCTTTATCACAGGGTGACTGCAGTGTGGCTGGTACTCCCACCTCTAAGAAACCAGCTGCCGGGGAACCAGGTGCTGTCATAGAGAGCTTTGTGAGCCATGCCCCAGGAGTCTTCTCAGGGACCTTTTCAGGCACTCTGCCCCCAGCCGGCCAGGACAGCACCAGTACCAGTGCCAGGTCATCCAGGCAAGGCATCAACACAATCCTCCAGATCCTCAACGACCTTCTCAGTGCCACTCGCCAGTACCAGGGGGCTCCACTGTCCCTCTCCCAGCTCCTCTGCCGCCCTCCCATCACCCCAGCCAGCAGCACCCCGAGTACCCCAACCTCGCCCTCCCCGCCGCCCTCACCTCTCACCCCTGACCCCGTCAGCACTGCTACCTCAGGACCACTTATAGACCACATCAGCCAGGAACAGAGCCGCTCATGTAAACCTACTGGTGAGTTGAGGTCCCACAGAATAAGCAAAACCTGTCAATGCTGTGTGTAGCTGATTATAGGCAAAACAAAGTACAACAATATGCTGAGACAAAGGATGTTTTAGGTTTTGTTATACCATGCTGTCTTTATTCGACTCTTCATAACACAACTAAAGAACCAAATTAATGAGATAGAGATTCTCTTTATTGTCTTTATTGAAAACGTATGTACCGTATGTGCATTCAATGAATGTTTAGCCTTGAAGTATTCCCTGTCAGTGGTCTGTCACTTAGTTCTCGCTCCTGCATTCCGGAACCCTAGCGTCATGTTTGGAAACCAGTCCAACCTTCTCAGTTTTTAGAAAGTTTAGAAAGTAGCAGCTGTACAGAAAGTAGCAGCTGTACAGCAGAGAACACTGGTTGTGAGGGTATTGTTAGAAAGGAGGAAGTGGTTTCTGTGCCCCCTATTAATGAACTAGGGCTGTTTATATCCGTTACCTCACGGCCTATGCATTCATTTGTTCCCCAGTCTGCAATGAATTAGAAAATCGTGTGTCTGTGTGTGTGTGTGTGTGTGTGTGTGTGTAGTTTTGTGAGTGTTTTGGGGCAGAGAGAGCATGGCCCTCAGGGGTCAGTTAGTGACAGGAACGAACACTCCGTCACACACACGTTTACATTTACATTTTTAGTCAACAGGACCTTAACCTTTTAACCTGAGTGTGTGAACTATTGTATCTTACTAGCACCTTTTCACCCTAGCACCGGAAACATACTAATGAACACATAATCATTGGCGACAGTGGCAGCTCTTGGTCACGTTGTCAGGGAAACGGCACTGCTCCATTCTTAGAATTAGAATCCATTCAATGTTGTTCATGGTTCCATCCGTCGAATTCTGTGTTCAGTGAACAATGCTAGGCTGATTATATGAGTATGGCACAATGTACACTATATATACGAAAGTATGTGGACACCCCTTCAAATTAGTGGATTCGGCTATTTCAGCCACACCGTTGCTGACAGGTGTATAAAATCGAGCACACCGCCATGCAATCTCCATAGACAAATATTGGCAGTAGAATGACCTTAATGAAGAGCTCAGTGACTTTCAACGTAGCACCGTCATAGGATGCCACCTTTCCAACAAGTCAGTCACATTTCTGCCCTGCTAGAGCTGCCCAGGTCAACTGTAAGTGCTGTTACTGTGAAGTGGAAACATCTAGGAGCAACAACGGCTCAGCCGCGAAATGGTAGGCCACACAAGCTCACAGAACGGGACCGCCGAGTGCTGAAGCGCATGGTGCGTAAAAATCATCTGTCCTCGGTGGCAACACTCAAAACTGAGTTCCAAACTGCTCCAGTTTGGTGGAGGAGGAATAATGGTCTGGGGCTGTTTTTCATGGTTCGGGCTAGGCCCCTTAGTTCCAGTGAAGGGAAATCTTAATGCTACAGCATACAATTACATTCTAGATGATTCTGTGCTTCCAACTTTGTGGTAACAGTTTGGGGAAGGCCCTTTCCTGTTTCAGCATGACAATGCCCCCGTGCACAAAGCGAGGTCCATACAGAAATGGTTTGTCGAGACCGGTGTGCAAGAACTTGACTGGCCTGCACAGAGCCCTAACCTCAACCCCATCGAACACCTTTGGGATGAATTGGAACACCGACTGCGAGCCAGGCCTAATCGCCTAACAAAAGTGCCCGACCTCACTAATGCTCTTGTGGCTGAATGAAAGCAAGTCCCCGCAGCAATGTTCCAACATCTAGTGGAAAGCCTTCCCAGAAGAGTGGAGGCTGTTATAGCAGCAAAGGGGGGACCATCTCCATATTAATGCCCATGATTTTGGAATGAGATGTTTGACGAGCAGGTGTCCACATACTTATGGTCATGTAGTGTATATGTATATACTTCCTGAATTCCTGCAATAACATTCTTCCTCATGACCAGTGGTGTAAAGTACTTAAGTAAAACTACTTTAAAGTACTACTTAAGTAGTTTTTTGGGGTATCTGTTCTTTACTATTTCAATTTTTGACAACTTTTACTTTCACTCCACTACATTCCTAAAGAAAATAATGCACTTTTTACTCCATACATTTTCATTGACACCCCAAAAGTACTCGTTACATTTTGAATGCTTAGCAGGACAGGAAATTTGTCAAAACCTTGCACTTATCAAGAGAACATCCCTGGTCATCCCTACTGCCTCTGATCTGGCAGACTCACTAAAAACACATGCTTCGTTTATAAATGATTGTCTTAGTGTTGGAGTGTGCCGCTGCCTATCCGTAAAAAGAAAGTAATAAATAAAAAATGGTGCAGTCTGGTTTACTTAATATAAGGAATTTGAAATGATTTATACTTTTACTTTTGATATTTAAGTATATTTTAGCAATTACATTACTTTTGTTATATTTAAGTATATTTAAAACCAAATACTTTTAGACTTTTACTCAATTAGTATTTTACTGTGCGACTTTCACTTTTACTTGTCATTTTCGATTAAAGGTATCTTTCCTTTTACTCAAGTATGACAATTGGGTACTTCTTCCTCCACTGGTCATGACTCTTCCCGTCTTCTTCCTCCCACCTCTTTTCTCTATTCCCTTCCATCCTCCCTGTCTCTCTCCCTTCTCCTCCTCTCTCAGCAGGCCTGTGTTCCAGTCAGTCCGAGGAGGAGAACCAGTCGTTGCGTTGTAAACTGGAGCGCCTTCAGATGTTGATGCACCAGAGACGCCTGCGCAGGCGGGCTCGCAGGTACACACGCACCTCACACCCCTACCCTCCTCACCACCGTCAGCCCTGGTCGCCCGGACGAGACAAAGCCAACACCAGCCGCCATAGCAACGGCAGCCTGTCCAGCAGCGAGGGCTCTTCCCTGGATGACCTGGAGTTGCCATGGAAACCGGAGCTGCCATCCGACCTTGTGATGGCGTAGAAAGAGAGCGAGAGATGACAATATGTTTCTGGCTCCCAATTGGACCTGTGTCATTGGCTGTCTTTCTGAATGGCTGAATAGGAGAAATAAGCTGTCCATTTTGGGACTCACTTGATCAGGCTGCACAAGGACTCTTCAAAAAGACGACTGTGTCCTGCTTTCTTGAAACTGGACATTCAAACAAAACTTCAGTAGTATATTGTGTATATAATTGCTTAGGTAAATACATTTTTTTCAACTTAGTTTATACTCCCTTGACTGAGCTTTCTGCAGATCATATGACACCTCTTTACTGTCATCATTCTTTGTCTATTTTCCCGGAGTCTGTTGGAACCGGACTGTCTTTCTGACTGTGACTAATGTTTTCAGAGGGACTAAGCTTTGTCTACCATTTTAAACTCTCATTTGACTCACCACATCTTCAGTTGCTGTCGTTGTTAGCATTGTCAGAACTATGTAGCGTTTGAGGTTATCAAATAAAGACACGTTTCTGCACATTAGTTTTCTTGACAGCTTTGTTTTTGCAATGTTTTGCGGTCGCTCAAGAGTGAGCGAAATTATACTTTTGTCTTTGTGTATACAGTATGTTCTGATTGATGCCTTAAGCAGCATGCATGTAAAGGATACAATGGATGACATGTGTTTCTTAACCTTTGTAGATATTATGTAGACTGTTTCAAATAGTTTTTCTGAAGCAATACTTTTCCGTTTGTCAATGCAGTGGAAAGTTTCTTTTTTCTAGGAAATATAAATTATTCTGAAAAGTCAGTAATTTGCCTCATTTGTTCCATTACATATAGTCCTGACATCCATTTGTTTGATTGACATAATAGGATACTCCAACCCTAGGCCTCTTATCCCAACGCCTGTATGTATCCAGAGTGAGTGCTGGGGTGTGTTCAGTTCGATTAAACGTTTGTACTGAAGGACAAGTTTCACAAACGTTCAATGTTCATGAACAGACTGAGGTACGTTTGCTCAGTTTGGTGGGTGTAACTTAAATTAGTAATGTATTTAAAGAGCAGCGGAGTGTTCCCTAACCCACAACCTCTCCCAGTTAACTGGTCGTTCAGAACAGCACTGTTTAATTGAACTTTGCAGTACGTTTTTGTACTGAACGCAAGCCCTTGGTCAACGAAAAGCTAGTTTCTATTGGACAAATCCGGTAGGTCCCACCCAGTGTGGTGTGAAGATCTAGGATCAGGTCCCTCCGTCCATGTAAAATTGAGATCCAAGACAAATTATCCTAAAAGTTAACACGCTTACAGAGACGCTTGATACAAGAGGGTGTAGTCATTCATCTAAACAGCTGCCAAACGTTCTGAAACTAAAGTATTTATTGGACAAATTCAGATAATGGGAGGGACTTTAATTTTTGTAAACACTTTATTTGCTGAATGTTTCTTAAATGGGATGGACTTAAGCATTCTGCAACAGAATGAATACACCCAAGGTGTGTAAGAGATGTTGCGGTCACCACCAGCGCAACTATGAGGTTGGCCGCGACAGTTGCAGTTCCTTACACAAGTGTCAAGAGGAAATTGAACTTCAGCCATTATAAAAGCAAAAACAGAAGAGGGCTGTTGAATCATCCATCTTACAAATACAGGAAGTCAAATGGACAAGCATCAGAATAGTAAAGGCAGTTCCTGTGTTCAGGTTCGTTACTGGTGATTAGATGTGAGGGTTCAGATGTTCGACACTCATTCTCATGTACTCCCCGATCTTCTGTTACAGATGTGATGGTTCCAAGGCCCGTTTAGACATTTAAAAATGCCTCCTTCCTAATCTGACACATTGGACTGGTGAAACCCAAAATGGTGGATCTTGCCCTCACTTGAATCCAAATGAAACAAAAATCACTTTCAAATGTTTATTTCCCAAAAAATCTACTATATTGACAAATCACTCCTGGAAATTGATGGGGCCTGGGGTAAGAATTCAGTATGGTAGCAATGTCAAGAATACCTGAGAAATGTAGCTCATGGCAATGTCCTGTGAATAGTGATCAGCTGAACACATAATTTTCCTAATTGAATGGTTGATATCACTGCATTCCTGAATTAACCCCAGCAGACATTGAATATTACATTCTAAATAAATCCAGTCAGATGTGAACATTTTAATGTAATATGCTTATTCTCCCAAAAAAAGTTTAAAAAAGCAAGATTACTCTTGGACTATGATAGGGCCCATGGTAGCATCACCTTCCTTCTGCCCATCTGAGGAGAGTAGAGAACAGTGATAAGATAAAACTGTGATGAAGATAAAGCTCTGGCTTTGATTGACACTTACCTGAATTACTGTCCAGATCTCTAGCCTTGCTCGCAGCACAGCTGGAGTCACAGCAGCCACAAACCTCGTCATCCCCATCTGCAGCCTTCCACCTACAGATAAATATGAAGGTTAGTTCATATAGCAGCATGTCATAAACGTAATATTCCCACAACTCAGCTTACATACCCATCTGTGAAGGAGCAGGCCTTGTTCTCAGCATCAATGCAGTTGCTTTCAGATGACATGTTATGTAGAGCTGTTGGGAATCATTCTGTGGTTGGAACCTGAAGGACACCAGCTGAAACTGGATCTTGTCATCCTTCGATCTGGACAGGAACTGGGAGCTGGAGCCGGTCAGCTTGGCGTCAACCAGACATCTGAGGAGACCAAGGGTCAACGTTAGGCTTCAGGGGTCACATTTATGGTAACATAAGAGGTGTCAAACTGACAACTAAACTCACCCATGGTCCTCAATGAAAGAGTATCTAGGGACAGTGTTGACATCAGGCGCCAAGGTGGCGACACAGCGGTCCACAAAGATACGGAGGGGAACGTGGTGGTAGGGCATGACCGAAGCTTCCATGTTGATGACGTCACCAAGATAGTAATGGTTGGAGGGCCTCTCAAACTGCCAGTCAGCTGGAAAGACAAGTAGCATGTTAGTGGTGGTTTACACAGAGGAAGAGGCTTCCAGTCAGGTTTACCCACCAGTCATTAACCTCAGGGAGAAGTAGAGGAGCTCCTCCGCCACCATGTTGGAGGTGTAGGGGATCCAGGTCGGCTTCAGGGCATTGCTGCTCACATCGTGATTCCTAGAAAAAAAAACATGGAATATGGCATTACTCAAACCTCAGAATTATAGGTGTTGTCAAAGTGAAGAATGGCAACAATAGTTACCTCAAGTAGTGGCACTCAATATCAACCATAGCTGCACTGGTCTTCACTATAGAAGTGTTAGCAAGAGGTTTTGGCTCATGGACAAGAGTGAAGGTGTAGATCAGCACATCCTCCGTCATCTAGGAACAGGATCACAAATTATGTCTGAGACAAGAATAACGATTCCCATTCTTCAGGAAGTTGAACAGCAGAAGTGACATACCGTCAGCTCACTGCCACAGCCATGCAGCTCTGATTCAAAGGTGAGCACATGAGTGTCAGCGTCCTCCTCAGTGGCAGCACAGCCTCCTAGAGTGATACGCTCTGGCTGGATGAGCCGGCCAATGCCCAGCAGGTCCTGCTTCACCTCCACACGGACCACACTCTCCCCACACCAAGCCGCCACACTGTTAGCAGCCACCTGCTTCAGCCGCTCAAATACAGTAGGCTTGCGCTCAGGCTTTTCAACGTAAGGAAATCTCCAAGTTAAAGGGTTCTCAGAGGTCTGCTTGGACTGGGAGCTCTCAAACTCTAAAGCCTGGTTAGGTTCCTGTCCCACAGGCTTGCAAAGTACCTGGCCCACAGGCTTGCTAGGTTCCTGGCCCACAGGCACGCCAACAGGCTTGTAGTTCCCGGGCCCAGAGTCACGCCAACAGGCTTGCTTGGTTCCTGTTCTACAGGCCCTCCAACAGGCTTGCTTGGCACCTGGCCTACAGGCTTTCTAGGTTCCTGGCCAACAGAATCTCCAACAGGCTTGCTAGGCTCCTGGCCCACAGGCACGCTAGGTTCCTGGCCCACAGTCAGCCCAACAGGCTTGCTAGTTCCCTGGCCTACAGGCTCTCCAACAGGCTTTCCAACAGGCTTGCTAGGCTCCTGGCCCACAGTCACTCCAACAGGCTTGCTCGGCACTTGGCCTACAGGCTTGCTAGGTTCCTGGCCCACATGCTCTCCAGCAGGCTTGCTAGTTCCCTGGCCTACAGGCTCTCCAATAGGCTTGCTAGGCTCCTGGCCCACAGGCACGCTAGGTTCCTGGCACACAGTCACGCTAGGTTCCTGGCCCACAGTCACGCCAACAGGCTTGCTAGTTCCCTGGCCTACAGGCTTGCTAGGTTCCAGGCCCACAGTCACGCCAACAGGCTTGCTAGGTTCCTGTGCTACAGGCTCTCCAACAGGCTTGCTAGGTTCCTGGCCAACAGGCTCTCCAACAGGCTTGCTAGGCTCCTGGCCCACAGTCACGCCAGGTTCCGGGCCCACAGTCACGCCAACAGGCTTGCTCGGCACCTGGCCTACAGAATCTCCAACAGGCTTGCTAGGCTCCTGGCCCACAGTCACGCTAGGTTCCTGGCCCACATGCTCTCCAACAGGCTTGCTAATTCCCTGGCCTACAGGCTTGCTATGTTCCTGTTCTACAGGCTCTCCAATAGGCTTGCTAGGCTCCTGGCCCACAGCCTCTCCAACAGGCTTGCTAGGCTCCCCAACAGGCTTGCTAGGCTCCTGGCCCACAGTCACGCCAACAGGCTTGCTAGGTTCCGGGCACAGTCACGCCAACAGGCTTGCTCGGCACCTGGCCCACAGGCTCTCCAACAGGCTTGCTAGGTTCCGGGCTCACAGTCACGCCAACAGGCTTGCTCGGCACCTGGCCTACAGGCTTGCTAGGTTCCTGGCCAACAGGCTCTCCAACAGGCTTGCTAGGCTCCTGGCCAACAGGCTCTCCAACAGGCTTGCTAGGCTCCTGGCCCACAGTCAGGCTAGGTTCCTGGCCCACAGTCACGCCAACAGGCTTGCTAGTTCCCTGGCCTACAGGCTTGCTAGGTTCCTGGCCTACAGGCACTCCAACAGGCTTGCTAGGCTCCTGGCCCACAGGCTCGCTAGGTCCATGGCCCACATGCTCTCCAACAGGCTTGCTAGTTCCCTGGCCTACAGGCTCTCCAACAGGCTTGCTAGGTCCCTGGCCCACAGGCTTGCTAGGTTCCTGGCCCACAGGCTCTCCAACAGGCTTGCTAGGTCCCTGTCCCACAGGCTTGCTAGGTTCCAGGCCCACAACAACCTGGCTAGGTTCCTGTCCCACAGGCTTGCTAGGTTCTTGTCCCACAGGCTCTCCAGACTTCAGGGCATTGTTGCTCACATCGTGTTTCCTAGAAACATACATGGAATATGGCATTACTCAAACCTCAGAATTATAGGTGTTGTCAAAGTGAAGAAAGGCAACAAGTTACCTCAAGTAGTGGCACTCAATATCAACCATAGCTGCACTGGGCTTCACTATAGAAGTGTTAGCAAGAGGTTTTGGCTCATTGACAAGAGTGAAGGTGTAGATCAGCACGCCCTCCGTCATCTAGGAAGAGAGTCACAAATCATGTATCAGACTAGAATAATGAGTCCCATTCTTCAGGAAGTTAACCAACGTAACATACCGTCAGCTCACTGCCACAGCCATGCAGTTCTGATTCAAAGGTGAGCACATGAGTTTCAGAGTCCTCCTCAGTGGCAGCACAGCCTCCTAAAGTGATACGCTCTGGCTGGATGAGCCGGCCAATCCCCAGAAGATCCTGCTTCACCTCCACACGGACCACACTGAGCTACCACACTGTTGGCCGCCACTTGTTTTAGACTCTCAAACACAGTAGAATTGCGGTCATGCATTTCAACCTTAGGATAGCGCCAAGTCAGAGGGTTCTCAAAGGTCTGCATGGACTGGAAGCTCTCAGGGTCCTCATCCTGGCTAGGTTCCTGTCCCACTGGCTCGCCGCTAGGTTCCTGTCCCACTGGCTCGCCGCTAGGTTCCTGTCCCACTGGCTCGCCGCTAGGTTCCTGTCCCACTGGCTCGCCGCTAGGTTCCTGTCCCACTGGCTCGCCACTAGGTTCCTGTCCCACTGGCTCGCCACTAGGTTCCTGTCCCACTGGCTCACTAGGTTCCTGTCCCACTGGCTCACTAGGTTCCTGTCCCACTGGCTCACTAGGTTCCTGTCCCACTGGCTCACTAGGTTCCTGTCCCACTGGCTCACTAGGTTCTTGTCCCACTGGCTCACTAGGTTCCTGTCCCACTGGCTCGCCGCTAGGTTCCTGTCCCACTGGCTCGCCGCTAGGTTCCTGTCCCACTGGCTCGCCGCTAGGTTCCTGTCCCACTGGCTCACTAGGTTCCTGTCCCACTGGCTCACTAGGTTCCTGTCCCACTGGCTCATTAGGTTCCTGTCCCACTGGCTCACTAGGTTCTTGTCCCACTGGCTCACTCGGTTCTTGTCCCACTGGCTCACTAGGTTCTTGTCCCACTGGCTCACTAGGTTCTTGTCCCACTGGCTCACTAGGTTCTTGTCCCACTGGCTCACTAGGTTCTTGTCCCACTGGCTCACTAGGTTCTTGTCCCACTGGCTCACTAGGTTCTTGTCCCACTGGCTCAACAACAGCCTCAACAGGGTCTTCTCCCACAGGCTCTTCCTGCACTGGCTTCTGAGAGTCAAACTGGGCTGGGACTTGATCGTCATGCAGAAACCCCGATCTCGGATAAAACCATCTGGAGTCCCAAGCATCACTAACAACACAGCCAAAAGCCATGACCAAAAGAAGCACTGCAGACACCTGCCTGAACCCCATCACTGCAATTAGATATTAGTTATTCTTGTCAATACGTTCACAGAGTCTGTCAAACCATTTTATAGCCACAATGTCTGACATAGACCCCACCCCTTCAGCAATCAGCTTGATTATTGTCCAGACCTGATTAATTATACAGGTGCTGAGGAATGTGAAGTTGATTGTCATTTACGTACCATTGGTTGCCTTTGTGCAGGCAAAATCACGTACACCTGAAGCTTTATTGAGGAGGCCTCAACTTTAGAGAGCGTTGATAGAAATGTGTTATGTAGAACAGTCATACTTTTCTATAGTGGATGTTACTCCCAGATCCTGTTGTTGATCTAACCTTGGTAGAGAAAAAGAAAGATTGGTCAGAAACTGGTTGACAATAACATTGGTAGAAGTTTTTATGCATTTTCACAGATGGATCCAAGGACTCAGATAGTGGGCGCACAGCTAGCAGGCGTTTATGTTCCTGAATTTGATGTGCAGATATGTAGAAGACTAACAGCTGAACTGTTGGCGATAGCAGTTGCCCTCCAGTGGGTGGAGGACGTACAACCTGTCAGAATTATAGTATGTTCAGATTCCCTGTCTATATTGAATAGTTTATCATCTGGCTAATCTAATAGGAGTGATATACTATTGGAGGTATTAATATTATTATGGAGAATTGAGAGACAGGGTGCAGTGTTGAGGTTCTACTGGGTCCCAGCCTATTTGGTTGTGGAAGGGAATGAAATTGTAGACCAGTTAGCCAAAAGAGCTTTAAAACGAGATATAATTGATATTAATGTTCCACTGGGTAGAGGTGAGGCCAAATGTAAGATCTGAGCCATTTTGATGGATGTGTGGCAGAAGAGATGGGACTCTGAGCCCGAGGGCCGGCATTTATATGCCCTCCAAATAAAGGTTGGCGGACCAATATCCAAAGGTCAGATTAGGAAGGATGAGGTGGTGTTTGCTCAATTGCGCCTAGGACATTGTACATTGAAGTCGTCATCACATCTGGTTGGCAATGGTTTGTGTCTGGAATGTATGGTCGATGAAACGGTGGAGCATGTGTTGTTATATTGTTGTAAGTATGTTGAAGAGAGGGAAAGTTTGAAGTGTAGGGTCATTGAGGTTGGATGTGGTTGGGGGGGTGGGGGGGGGGGTTGGAAGGGATTTTGGAAATGGGGAGGGTCTATTAGAAGTTAGTAGGGCTTTTTTCATTTTCTCAGAAGTACTGAGTTAGGTAGGAGGACTTAGAAATGTGGAGCTATTGTTGTAAACCGTGATTGACCACAAACTCCAGCACAGTAGTTGGCGGCATGCACCTTTAACATCTGTTTGCGGACCACCATTATATCATGGAGGAAGAAGAATACTTTATTTTCTGTAATAATGTGAGCTCTATATATTATATTGCTATAGGATCACACAGGTGCTCACGATAATGAAGTTGATTGTAATTTAACCACACGCCTTGTGTTGCACCAGGGGCGAGAATATATGCTTGAGTAAGGTTGGCTTTTTAGTGTTCATAGCAATGGTTATCAACTGTACTGCAGAACTGGAACGTAAATCACAGAAAATAGATGTTGTGGTGGCAGTAGCAGAGATTTGACTTCAGAAGAGTTACAGTGTGTGTTATGTGATAGTGTCCTGTCCTCTCAGGTCGTTGGCCTGGAGTAGGATCAGACAGGATGAACGTAGTGGAATAAAGTGATGGGTTTTAATGAGTATAGGGTTAGTTGGTAGGGTAATAAAAAGTGTGTGTGTGTGTATTTTTATATATATATATATATATATATATACATCATTTCCTGTAGTTTTGGGACACTGAAGTCCATGGAAAATAAGAGCACCTCCTCCCAACTGCCCACTGCACTGAGGCTAGGAAACACTGTCACCACCGATAAATCTACAATAATTGAGAATTTCAACAAGCATTTTGCTACGGCTGGCCATGTTTTCCACCTGGCTACCACTACCCCGGCCACCAGCTCTGCATCCTCCGCTGCAACTTGCCCATGCCCCCCCCGCTTCTCTTTCACACAAATTCAGACAGCTTATGTTCTGAAAGAGGTGAAAAATATGGACCCCTACAAATCAGCTAGGCTAGACAATCTGGACCCTTTCTTTCTAAAATTTAAAAGAGTTAAAGTTAAAGTTAAAAAGAAATTACCCTTTCTTTCTAAAATTAGAAAATATAAATTCTGAAAAGTCAGTAATTTGCCTCATTTGTTCCATTACATATAGTCCTGACATCCATTTGTTTGATTGACATAATAGGATACTCCAACCCTAGGCCTCTTATCCCAACTAAGCTCAACGCCTGTATGTATCCAGAGTGAGTGCTGGGGTGTGTTCAGTTCGATTAAACGTTTGTACTGAAGGACAAGTTTCACAAACGTTCAATGTTCATGAACAGACTGAGGTACGTTTGCTCAGTTTGGTGGGTGTAACTTAAATTAGTAATGTATTTAAAGAGCAGCAGAGTGTTCCCTAACCCACAACCCCTCCCAGTTAACTGGTCGTTCAGAACAGCACTGTTTAATTGAACTTTGCAGTACGTTGTTGTACTGAACGCAAGCCCTTGGTCAACGAAAAGCTAGTTTCTATTGGACAAATCCGGTAGGTCCCACCCAGTGTGGTGTGAAGATCTAGGATCAGGTCCCTCCGTCCATGTAAAATTGAGATCCAAGACAAATTATCCTAAAAGTTAACACGCTTACAGAGACGCTTGATACAAGAGGGTGTAGTCATTCATCTAAACAGCTGCCAAACGTTCTGAAACTAAAGTATTTATTGGACAAATTCAGATAATGGGAGGGACTTAAATTTTTGTAAACACTATTTGCTGAATGTTTCTTAAATGGGATGGACTTAAGCATTCTGCAACAGAATGAATACACCCAAGGTGTGTAAGAGATGTTGCGGTCACCACCAGCGCAACTATGAGGTTGGCCGCGACAGTTGCAGTTCCTTACACAAGTGTCAAGAGGAAATTGAACTTCAGCCATTATAAAAGCAAAAACAGAAGAGGGCTGTTGAATCATCCATCTTACAAATACAGGAAGTCAAATGGACAAGCATCAGAATAGTAAAGGCAGTTCCTGTGTTCAGGTTCGTTACTGGTGATTAGATGTGAGGGTTCAGATGTTCGACACTCATTCTCATGTACTCCCCGATCTTCTGTTACAGATGTGATGGTTCCAAGGCCCGTTTAGACATTTAAAAATGCCTCCTTCCTAATCTGACACATTGGACTGGTGAAACCCAAAATGGTGGATCTTGCCCTCACTTGAATCCAAATGAAACAAAAATCACTTTCAAATGTTTATTTCCCAAAAAATCTACTATATTGACAAATCACTCCTGGAAATTGATGGGGCCTGGGGTAAGAATTCAGTATGGTAGCAATGTCAAGAATACCTGAGAAATGTAGCTCATGGCAATGTCCTGTGAATAGTGATCAGCTGAACACATAATTTTCCTAATTGAATGGTTGATATCACTGCATTCCTGAATTAACCCCAGCAGACATTGAATATTACATTCTAAATAAATCCAGTCAGATGTGAACATTTTAATGTAATATGCTTATTCTCCCAAAAAAAGTTTAAAAAAGCAAGATTACTCTTGGACTATGATAGGGCCCATGGTAGCATCACCTTCCTTCTGCCCATCTGAGGAGAGTAGAGAACAGTGATAAGATAAAACTGTGATGAAGATAAAGCTCTGGCTTTGATTGACACTTACCTGAATTACTGTCCAGATCTCTAGCCTTGCTCGCAGCACAGCTGGAGTCACAGCAGCCACAAACCTCGTCATCCCCATCTGCAGCCTTCCACCTACAGATAAATATGAAGGTTAGTTCATATAGCAGCATGTCATAAACGTAATATTCCCACAACTCAGCTTACATACCCATCTGTGAAGGAGCAGGCCTTGTTCTCAGCATCAATGGGGGAAGAGGCTGCAGTTGCTTTCAGATGACATGTTATGTAGAGCTGTTGGGAATAATTCTGTGGTTGGAACCTGAAGGACACCAGCTGAAACTGGATCTTGTCATCCTTCGATCTGGACAGGAACTGGGAGCTGGAGCCGGTCAGCTTGGCGTCAACCAGACATCTGAGGAGACCAAGGGTCAACGTTAGGCTTCAGGGGTCACATTTATGGTAACATAAGAGGTGTCAAACTGACAACTAAACTCACCCATGGTCCTCAATGAAAGAGTATCTAGGGACAGTGTTGACATCAGGCGCCAAGGTGGCGACACAGCGGTCCACAAAGATACGGAGGGGAACGTGGTGGTAGGGCATGACCGAAGCTTCCATGTTGATGACGTCACCAAGATAGTAATGGTTGGAGGGCCTCTCAAACTGCCAGTCAGCTGGAAAGACAAGTAGCATGTTAGTGGTGGTTTACACAGAGGAAGAGGCTTCCAGTCAGGTTTACCCACCAGTCATTAACCTCAGGGAGAAGTAGAGGAGCTCCTCCGCCACCATGTTGGAGGTGTAGGGGATCCAGGTCGGCTTCAGGGCATTGCTGCTCACATCGTGATTCCTAGAAAAAAAAACATGGAATATGGCATTACTCAAACCTCAGAATTATAGGTGTTGTCAAAGTGAAGAATGGCAACAATAGTTACCTCAAGTAGTGGCACTCAATATCAACCATAGCTGCACTGGTCTTCACTATAGAAGTGTTAGCAAGAGGTTTTGGCTCATGGACAAGAGTGAAGGTGTAGATCAGCACATCCTCCGTCATCTAGGAACAGGATCACAAATTATGTCTGAGACAAGAATAACGATTCCCATTCTTCAGGAAGTTGAACAGCAGAAGTGACATACCGTCAGCTCACTGCCACAGCCATGCAGCTCTGATTCAAAGGTGAGCACATGAGCGTCAGCGTCCTCCTCAGTGGCAGCACAGCCTCCTAGAGTGATACGCTCTGGCTGGATGAGCCGGCCAATGCCCAGCAGGTCCTGCTTCACCTCCACACGGACCACACTCTCCCCACACCAAGCCGCCACACTGGTAGCAGCCACCTGCTTCAGCCCCTCAAATACAGTAGGCTTGCGCTCAGGCTTTTCAACGTAAGGAAATCTCCAAGTCAAAGGGTTCTCAGAGGTCTGCTTGGACTGGGAGCTCTCAAACTCTAAAGCCTGGTTAGGTTCCTGTCCCACAGGCTTGCAAAGTACCTGGCCCACAGGCTTGCTAGGTTCCTGTCCCACAGGCACGCCAACAGGCTTGCTTGGTTCCTGTTCTACAGGCTCTCCAACAGGCTTTCTAGGTTCCTGGCCAACAGGCTCTCCAACAGGCTTGCTAGGCTCCTGGCCCACAGGCTCTCCAACAGGCTTTCTAGGCTCCTGGCCCACAGGCTCTCCAACAGGCTTGCTAGGCTCCTGGCCCACAGGCATGCTAGGTTCCTGGCACACAGGCATGCTAGGTTCCTGGCCCACAGTCATGCCAACAGGCTTGCTAGTTCCCTGGCCTACAGGCTTGCTAGGTTCCAGGCCCACAGTCACACCAACAGGCTTGCTAGGCTCCTGGCCCAGAGTCACGCCAGGTTCCTGGCCCACAGTCACGCCAGCAGGCTTGCTAGTTCCCTGGCCTACAGGCTTGCTAGGCTCCTGGCCCACAGTCACGCCAGGTTCCTGGCCCACAGTCATGCCAACAGGCTTGCTAGTTCCCTGGCCTACAGGCTTGCTAGGTTCCAGGCCACAGTCACACCCAACAGGCTTGCTAGGGCTCCTGGGCCACAGTCACGCCAGGTTCCTGGGCCCACAGTCACTTGCCTATTTCCCCACAGTACGCCGGGTTTCCCTGGCCCACAGTTCACGCCAAAGCAGGTTGCAGTTCCTGCCTACAGGCTTGCTAGGCTCCGGGCCCCACATTTCACACCAGGTCCTGGCCACAGTCACGCCAACAGGCTTGCTAGGTTCCTGTGCTACAGGCTCTCCAACAGGCTTGCTAGGTTCCTGGCCCACAGTCACGCCAACAGGCTTGCTAGGCTCCTGGCCACAGGCACGTGGGTTTCCCTGGCCCAATCTCTCCAAAAAGGCTTGCTAGTTCCCTGGCCTACAGGCTTGCTAGGTTCCTGGCCTACAGGCTCTCCAACAGGCTTGCTAGGCTCCTGGCCCACAGTCACGCTAGGTTCCGGGCCCACAGTCATGCCAACAGGCTTGCTAGTTCCCTGGCCTACAGACTTGCTAGGTTCCAGGCCCACAGTCACGCCAACAGGCTTGCTAGGTTCCTGTGCTACAGGCTCTCCAACAGGCTTGCTAGGCTCCTGGCCCACAGTCACGCCAACAGGCTTGCTAGTTCCCTGGCCTACAGGCTTGCTAGGTTCCGGGCCCACGTCATGCCAACAGGCTTGCTAGGTTCCTGTGCTACAGGCTCTCAACAGGCTTGCTAGGTTCCTGCCACAGTCACGCCAACCGGCTGCTCAGCAATGCCAACAGGCTTGCTAGGCTCCTGGCACTCACTAGTTCGGGCCACTCATCAACAACTTAGGCTTACTAGGTTCTGGGTACACAGTCACGCCAACAGGCTTGCTAGGCTCCTGGCCCACAGGCTCGCTAGGTCCATGGCCCACAGGCTCTCCAACAGGCTTGCTAGGTTCCTGGCCTGTAGGCTTCTTGTCACTCCCACGTTCCAGGCTCTGGCCCACATGCTTGCTAGGTCCTGCCCACAGGCTCTCCAACAGCTTGCTAGTTCCGGCCCACAGGCTTGCTTGGTTCCTGGCCCACAGCAGTTCCGCCAACAGGCTTGCTAGTTCCCTGGCCTACAGGCTTGCTAGGTTCCTGGCCCACAGGCTCTCCAACAGGCTTGCTAGGTTCCAGGCCCACAACAACCTGGCTAGGTTCCTGTCCCACAGGCTTGCTAGGTTCTTGTCCCACAGGCTCTCCAGACTTCAGGGCATTGTTGCTCACATCGTGTTTCCTAGAAACATACATGGAATATGGCATTACTCAAACATCAGAATTATAGGTGTTGTCAAAGTGAAGAAAGGCAACAAGTTACCTCAAGTAGTGGCACTCAATATCAACCATAGCTGCACTGGGCTTCACTATAGAAGTGTTAGCAAGAGGTTTTGGCTCATAGACAAGAGTGAAGGTGTAGATCAGCACGCCCTCCGTCATCTAGGAAGAGAGTCACAAATCATGTATCAGACTAGAATAATGAGTCCCATTCTTCAGGAAGTTAACCAACGTAACATACCGTCAGCTCACTGCCACAGCCATGCAGCTCTGATTCAAAGGTGAGCACATGAGTTTCAGAGTCCTCCTTAGTGGCAGCACAGCCTCCTAAAGTGATACGCTCTGGCTGGATGAGCCGGCCAATCCCCAGAAGATCCTGCTTCACCTCCACACGGACCACGCTCTCCCCACACCGAGCTACCACACTGTTGGCCGCCACTTGTTTTAGACTCTCAAACACAGTAGATTTGCGGTCATGCATTTCAACCTTAGGATAGCGCCAAGTCAGAAGGTTCTCAAAGGTCTGCTTGGACTGGAAGCCTTCAGGGTCCTCATCCTGGCTAGGTTCCTGTCCCACTGGCTCGCCGCTAGGTTCCTGTCCCACTGGCTCGACAACAGGATCACTAGGTTCTTGTCCCACTGGCTCACTAGGTTCTTGTCCCACTGGCTCACTAGGGTCTTCTCCCACTGGCTCAACAGGGTCTTCTCCCACAGGCTCAACAGGGTCTTCTCCCACAGGCTCTTCCTGCACTGGCTTCTGAGAGTCAAACTGGGCTGGGACTTGATCGTCATGCAGAAACCCCGATCTCGGATAAAACCATCTGGAGTCCCAAGCATCACTAACAACACAGCCAAAAGCCATGACCAAAAGAAGCACTGCAGACACTTGCCTGAACCCCATCACTGCAATTAGATATTAGTTATTCTTGTCAATACGTTCACAGAGTCTGTCAAACCATTTTATAGCCACAATGTCTGACATAGACCCCACCCCTTCAGCAATCAGCTTGATTATTGTCCAGACCTGATTAATTATACAGGTGCTGAGGAATGTGAAGTTGATTGTCATTTACGTACCATTGGTTGCCTTTGTGCAGGCAAAATCACGTACACCTGGAGCTTTATTGAGGAGGCCTCAACTTTAGAGAGCGTTGATAGAAATGTGTTATGTAGAACAGTCATACTTTTCTATAGTGGATGTTACTCCCAGATCCTGTTGTTGATCTAACCTTGGTAGAGAAAAATAAAGATTGGTCAGAAACTGGTTGACAATAAAATTGGTAGAAGTTTTTATGCATTTTCACAGATGGATCCAAGGACTCAGATAGTGGGCGCACAGCTAGCAGGCGTTTACGTTCCTGAATTTGATGTGCAGATATGTAGAAGACTAACAGCTGAACTGTTGGCGATAGCAGTTGCCCTCCAGTGGGTGGAGGACGTACAACCTGTCAGAATTATAGTATGTTCAGATTCCCTGTCTGTATTGAATAGTTTATCATCTGGCTAATCTAATAGGAGTGATATACTATTGGAGGTATTAATATTATTATGGAGAATTGAGAGACAGTGTGCAGTGTTGTGGTTCTACTGGGTCCCAGCCTATTTGGTTGTGGAAGGGAATGAAATTGTAGACCAGTTAGCCAAAAGAGCTTTAAAACGAGATATAATTGATATTAATGTTCCAATGGGTAGAGGTGAGGCCAAATGTAAGATCAGAGCCATTTTGATGTATGTGTGGCAGAAGAGATGGGACTCTGAGCCCAAGGGCCGGCATTTATATGCCCTCCAAAGAAAGGTTGGCGGACCAATATCCAAATATCAGATTAGGAAGGATGAGGTGGTGTTTGCTCAATTGCGCCTAGGACATTGTACATTGAACTCGTCATCACATCTGGTTGGCAATGGTTTGTGTCTGGAATGTATGGTCGATGAAACGGTGGAGCATGTGTTGTTATACTGAGTTAGGTAGGAGGACTTAGAAATGTGGAGCTATTGTTGTAAACCGTGATTGACCACAAACTCCAGCACAGTAGGTGGCGGCATGCACCTTTAACATCTGTTTGCGGACCACCATTATATCATGGAGGAAGAAGAAGACTTTTCTGTAATAATGTGAGCTCTATATATTATATTGCTATAGGATCACACAGGTGCTCACAATAATGAAGTTGATTGTAATTTAACCACACGCCTTGTGTTGCACCAGGGGCGAGAATATATGCTTGAGTAAGGTTGGCTTTTTAGTGTTCATAGCAATGGTTATCAACTGTACTGCAGAACTGGAACGTAAATCACAGAAAATAGATGTTGTGGTGGCAGTAGCAGAGATTTGACTTCAGAAGAGTTACAGCGTGTGTTATGTGTACTCTCAGGCCGTTGGCCTGGGGTAGGATCAGACAGGATGAACGTAGTGGAATAAAGTGATGGGTTTTAATGAGTATAGGGTTAGTTGGTAGGGTAATAAAAAGTGTGTGTGTGTATTTATATGTATATATATATACATCATTTCCTGTAGTTTTGGGACACTGTGAAGTCCATGGAAAATAAGAGCACCTCCTCCCAACTGCCCACTGCACTGAGGCTAGGAAACACTGTCACCACCGATAAATCTACAATAATTGAGAATTTCAACAAGCATTTTGCTACGGCTGGCCATGCTTTCCACCTGGCTACCACTACCCCGGCCACCAGCTCTGCACCCTCCGCTGCAACTTGCCCATGCCCCCCCCCCCGCTTCTCCTTCACACAAATTCAGAAAGCTTATGTTCTGAAAGAGGTGAAAAATATGGACCCCTACAAATCAGCTAGGCTAGACAATCTGGACCCTTTCTTTCTAAAATTAGCCGTCGAAATTGTCGCTACCCCTATTACTAGCCTGTTCAACCTCTCTTTCGTAACGTCTGAGATCCCCAGAGATTGGAAAGCTGCCACGGTCATCCCCATCTTCAAAAGGGGTGACACTCTAGATCCAAACTGTTACAGACCTATATCCATCCTGCCCTGCCTTTCGAAAGTATTTGAATGCCAAGTTAACAAACAGATCACCGACCATTTCGAATCCCACCGTACCTTCTCCGCTATGCAATCCGGTTTCCGAGCTGGTCATGGGTTCACCTCAGCCACGCTCAAGGTCCTATACGATATTATAACCGTGATCGATAAAAGACAGTACTGCGCAGCCATCTTCATCGACCTGGCCAAGGCTTTCGACTCTGTCAACCACCGGATTCTTATTGGCAGACTAAATAGCCTTGGTTTCTCTAATGACTGCCTCGCCTGGTTCACCAACTACTTCTCAGATAGAGTTCAATGTGTCAAATCGGAGGGCCTGTTGTCTGGACCTCTGGCCGTCTCTATGGTGGTGCCACAGGGTTCAATTCTCGGGCCGATTCTATTCTCTGTGTATATCAATGATGTCGCTCTTGCTGCTGGTGACGCTCGGATCCACCTCTATGCGGACGACACCATTTTGTATACATCTGGCCCTTCATTGGACACTGTGTTAACAAACCTCCAAACGAGCTTCAACGCCATACAACACTCCTTCCGTAGCATCCAACTGCTCTTAAACACTAGTAAAACTAAATGCATGCTCTTCAACCAAAATGCTGCTTGCACCCGCCCCCTCCGACTAGAATCACTACTCTCGGTGGGTCTGACTTAGAGTATGTGGACAACTACAAATACCTAGGTGTCTGGTTTAGACTGTAAACTCTCCTTCCAGACTCACATTAAGCATCTCCAATCCAAAGTTAGATCTAGGAACGGCTTCCTATTTCGCAACAAAGCCTCCTTCACTCATGCTGCCAAACATGCCCTCGTAAAACGGACTATCCTACCGATCCTAGCCTCCAACACTCTACTAAGCAAATTGGATGTAGTTGTGGTGTCCGAACAACGATGCTGCGATGATGTGTTGATAAGAAATCCGCTGACACTGTACTTTGATTACAAAGGTTTATTATATAAAAGATTTCAGCATCAATTTACAGACTCTGCAGAATCTGGAGAGCAACGAAACCAATCCCAAATATGATCGCTCTCCTTGTCCTTTTGTTAAAACATGGTATATATATTCTATGCTTTATGTAACATAAGATGGCGTGATTTGAATAGACCAATCCCTGGCCTCCACATATCCAAATCTCCACTGTTTTAGGGGGGCCCTATAGTAACACTTTCCAGATGTTTCAGCAAAGCAGAGTAAAGTTCATCTAACCAACAATATGAAAACCTCAGATACTACATAGTCTATCACAGTGCCATCTGCTTTGTCACCAAAGCCCCATATACTACCCACCATTGTGACCTGTACTCTCTCGTTGGCTGGCCCTCACTACATATTCGTCGCCAAACCCACTGGCTCCAGGTCATCTATAAATCACTTCTAGGCAAATCCCTGCCTTATTTTAGCTCATTGGTCACCATAGCAACACCCACCCGTAGGATACGCTCCAGCAGGTATATCTCATTGGTCATCCCCAAAGCCAACACCTCCTTTGGCCGCCATTCCTTCCAGTTCTCTGCTGCCAATGACTGGAACGAACTGCAAAAATCTCTGAAGCTGGAGACTCTTAGCTCCCTCACTAACTTTAAGCATCAGTTGTCAGAGCAGCTTACCGATCACTGCACCTGTACACAGCCATTCTGAAATTAGCCCACCCAACTACCTCATCCCCATATTGTTATTTATTTTGCTAATTCGCACCCCAGTATCTCTATTTGCACATCATCTTTTGCACATCTATCATTCCAGTGTTAATACGAAATTGTAACTCTTTTGCACTATGCCTATTTATTGCCTTACCTCCATAATTTACTACATTCGCACACACTGTATATATATTTTCTGTTGTATTTTTGACTTTATGTTTTGTTTACCCCATATGTAACTCTGTGTTGTTGTTTTCATCGCACTGTTTTGCTTTATCTTGGCCAGGTCGCAGTTGTAAATGAGAACTTGTTCTCAACTGGCTTACCTGGTTAAATAAAGGTGAAAAAATATATAAATAAAAAAATCACAAAATGTAACGGATCTATAATATATTTCAGTTGGGAGCGGTAACGGAACCTAAACCCCACAGAAGAAGAATAACTGCCCAGTCGCTGCTGACCCATGCCAAATCTTTGATAGGTTACGTATCCGCTAACCACGTCATATGTTATAGCAGGTGTGTCAAACTCATTCCATGGAGGGCCTTGTGTCTGCTGGTTTTTCCTTTCCATTAAGATCTAGACAACCATGTGAGGGTAGTTCCTTACTAATCAGTTTCCTTAATTCATCAATCAAGTACAAGGGAGGAGCAAAAACCCGCAGACACTCAGCCCTCCGTGGAACACATGTGTGTTATAGCAACCTGGTCCCGACTGCACAATTGATGACTTGGCATGCAACCATAGGTTGATGCATGCAAAGTCTGAGCAGGGGAACGCGACCGTGCACTTTCAAGAGCGGCTGAACTCACCAATTACGCATATATTTTTCTGCTGCTAATTTAAAAAACGGATTTGTGTCTTCGGGGTGTTATGTTCGGTATATCATACACTGGCAGTTGTTGTTTGTCCCTCGAGTCACGGTAGCAGAAGATCACCCTCAATAGTCAGTTAATCTTAAAAATCAAGAAATCTGTAATTTGGATGTTTTTGCCAAGGAGGTCTTAGTCACGCAATTTTACATCTAGTCAAGGTGTTTGGTGCAGTATTTCTCAAGTAAAAAAATGTGCCTGAAATCTAGTAGCACACTGCAGACAGTATTGAGTCAGCTGCTGCTGCGCAGGACTGATTTCTGAGAACATGTCTACAACTTCATCAGCAAGCTGTCAAACTATTGGAAATAAAGCACAAGCTACACTCGGTTTATCACTAGCTAGCTAAGTTCCATCTCTGGGTTTGTAAATTAAGCTAGCTAATAGCAACAAAAAAAATCTAATTGTATTTGTCGTATGATTCACAGACAACAGTGAAATTATTACTTACAGGTCCATTTCCAATAATGCAGAGTTAAGAAATAGAAATAGTGACACAAGAATAAATACACAGTGAATAACAAAAATAACGAGTAAAAATAACATGGCTATATATAGGGAGTAGAAAATAACATGGCTACATACAGGGAGTACCAGTACCGAGTCGATGTGCATGGGTACAAGTTAATTGAGGTAGCTATGTGCTGTACATATAGGTAGGGGTAAAGTAACTAGGCAACAGGATAGATAGACAGTAGCGTGTGTGGCGTCAGTATGCATGTGTGTGCATATAATGTGTGTGTGTGTTGGGGTGTAAGTATGTGTGGGTAGAGTCCAGTGTGTGTGCATAGTGGGTTAGTGCAATAAAAGGGTCAATGCAGGTAGTCCGTGTAGCCATTTGATTAGCTATTTAGCAGTCTTGTTTAGAAGTCTTATGGCTTGGATGTAGAAACTGTTCATGGTCCTGCTGGTTTCAGACTTGGTACCACTTGCCGTGCGGTAACAGAGAGAACAGTCTGTGGCTTGGGTGGCTGGAGTCTTTGACAATTTTCTGGCCTTTGACACCGCCTAGTATAGAGGTTCTGGATGGCAGGGAGCTCGACCCCAGTGATGTACTGGGTCATACGCACTACCCTCTGTAGCTCCTTGCGGTCAGATGCCAAGCAGTTGCCATATCAAGCGGTGAAGCAGCCAGTCCAGATGCTCTCGATGGTGCAGCTGTAGACATTTACCAGAATCTGAGGGCCCATGCCAAATCTTTTCATCCTCCTGAGTGGGAAGAGGCGTTTTCTTCACAACTGTGTGGTGTGTTTGGACCATGATAGATCCTTAGTGATGTGGACACTGAGGAACTTGAAGCTCTCGACCCGCTCCGCTACAGCCCCATCGATGTGAATGGGGCGTGCACGGCCTTCTGTTTCCTGTAGTCCACAATCAGCGCCATTGTTTTACTGACGTTGAGGGAGAGGATGTTGTCCTGGCACCACACTGCTAGGTCTCTGACCTTCTCCCTATAGGCTGTCTCATCGTCGTCGGTGATCAGGCCTACCACCGTCGGCAAACTTAATGGTGTTGGAGTCGTGGGTGAACAGGGAGTGCAGGAGGGGACTAAGCACGCACCCTTGAGGGGCCCCCGTGGCGGATGCGTTGTCTACCCTCACCACCTGGGGGCGGCCCGTCAGGAAGTCTAGGTTCCAGTTGCAGAGGGAGGAGTTTAGTCCCAGGGCAGGCAGGCCACGTTAGTTAAATAAGCTTATCAAGTCACTGGCTAGTGGCAAAGTGCGTCGGTACCATTTTGTTCTTACAACTTTCTCACTATTACCAGAGATACTCTATATAATGATGAGATGGTCTTGTCTCCGCCCTAACAATGGGGATTGTTGCCCACAAATTCGGAACGGCGAGCTGTCAAGCGTCGCCTATTCCTCCTTTTGGATACATACCCTTATTTGAACTTCCTTTGAATATTCAATGAGGGGTGTTGTCAACCGCCTGAAATCTAAGGCATTTCAAATTAATCGAGAAAGTGAGAACGACAATTTCTTGGAAAGGTAAGTCAGTCGTTCATTTAGTAGTCATTCAATAGCAAAGTCAGCTATATATAAGTAATTTCCCCCTTACGATATTTCTCTTCAGATGAACTTGCGAGGTAATTGACTGTCAGAGAGTTGAGGAACGCTAACTTTAGTGCTAGCTGTAGCTTATTTTCCCCAATGCACAATAAATCGTTTCTACTAACAAGCCGGGCGGGAGCTTGACCCTGATTGCTCCAGTGGGTTGCTCTGGATGGGAGCGTCTGTTAAATGACTGGAATTGTAATGTAAATGTTGAGCGGCTTCACTGCAGCTGGATTGTAGGTTTTCAAAATTCAGGTCCGTACAGCTACCCCAGGGAGATTCCCACATTTTTCACGAGCTACTTTGCTCTGAAAGTGTCCATCCATCAGTTGATGACAATGTCTGTTTACAGACCTAGTGAATATGCATAGACTTCGTAGTACATTTACACTAATATTGATGCTCAGGCCATTTCACAACACTACCCATCATGTCTCTTGTCCACCCCGAGCTTCTGTTATAGCTGCGATGGTTCCAAGGCCTGTTCATTAAAGAATGCCTCCTTCCTAATCTGACATATTGGACAGGTGAAACCCAAAATGGTGGATCTCTTCCCCTCACTTGAATCCAAATAGAAGAAACAAAATCACATTCAAATGTTGATTTTCCAAAAGTCAAACCACTCCTGGAAATGTATGGGGCCCAGGGTAACAATTCAGTATGGTAGCAATTTTAATACCTGAGAAATGTAGCTCATGACAAAGTTCTGTGGATAAAGAGTGATCAGCTGTACACATCATTTTCCGATTTGAATGGTTGATTGCGTTCCTGAATAAACCCCATTCTAAATAAATCCAGTCAGATGTGAACATTGTAATTTGTTTATTCTCCCAAAAAAAGTTTAAAAAAGCAAGATTACTCTTGGACGATGATAGGGCCCATGGTAGCGTCACCTTCCTTCTGCACATCTGAGGAGAGTAGAGAACAGTGATAAGATAAAACTGTGTGATGAAGATAAAGCTCTGATTGACACCTACCTGAATTACTGTCCAGATCTCTAGCCTTGCTCGCAGCACAGCTGGAGTCACAGCAGCCACAAACCTCGTCATCCCCACCTGCAGCCTTCCACCTACAGATAAATATGAAGGTTAGTTCATATAGCAGCATATAAACGTAATATTCCCACAACTCAGCTTACATACCCATCTGTGAAGGAGCAGGCCTTGTTCTCAGCATCAATGGGGGAAGAGGCTGCAGTTGCTTTCAGATGACATGTTATGTAGAGCTGTTGGGAATCATTCTGTGGTTGGAACCTGAAGGACTCCAGCTGAAACTGGATCTTGTCATCCTTGGATCTGGACAGGAACTGGGAGCTGGAGCCGGTCAGCTTGGCATCAACCAGACATCTGAGGAGACCAAGGGTCAACGTTAGGCTTCAGGGGTCACATAAGAGGTGTCAAACTGACAACTAAACTCACCCATGGTCCTCAATGAAAGAGTATCTAGGGACAGTGTTGACATCAGGCGCCAAGGTGGCGACACAGCGGTCCACAAAGACACGGAGGGGAACGTGGTGGTAGGGCATGACCGAAGCTTCCATGTTGATGATGTCACCAAGATAGTAATGGTTGGAGGGCCTCTCAAACTGCCAGTCAGCTGGAAAGACGAGTAGCATGTTAGTGGTGGTTTACACAGAGGAAGAGGCTTCCAGTCAGGTTTACCCACCAGTCATTAACCTCAGGGAGAAGTAGAGGAGCTCCTCCGCCACCATGTTGGAGGTGTAGGGGATCCAGGTCGGCTTCAGGGCATTGCTGCTCACATCGTGATTCCTAGAAAAAAAAAACATGGAATATGGCATTACTCAAACCTCAGAATTATAGGTGTTGTCAAAGTGAAGAATGGCAACAATAGTTACCTCAAGTAGTGGCACTCAATATCAACCATAGCTGCACTGGTCTTCACTATAGAAGTGTTAGCAAGAGGTTTTGGCTCATGGACAAGAGTGAAGGTGTAGATCAGCACATCCTCCGTCATCTAGGAACAGGATCACAAATTATGTCTGAGACAAGAATAACGATTCCCATTCTTCAGGAAGTTGAACAGCAGAAGTGACATACCGTCAGCTCACTGCCACAGCCATGCAGCTCTGATTCAAAGGTGAGCACATGAGCGTCAGCGTCCTCCTCAGTGGCAGCACAGCCTCCTAGAGTGATACGCTCTGGCTGGATGAGCCGGCCAATGCCCAGCAGGTCCTGCTTCACCTCCACACGGACCACACTCTCCCCACACCAAGCCGCCACACTGTTAGCAGCCACCTGCTTCAGCCGCTCAAATACAGTAGGCTTGCGCTCAGGCTTTTCAACGTAAGGAAATCTCCAAGTCAAAGGCTTCTCAGAGGTCTGCTTGGACTTGGGAGCTCTCAGACTCTAAAGCCTGGTTAGGTTCCTGTCCCACAGGCTTGCAAAGTACCTGGCCCACAGTCACGCCAACAGGCTTGCTAGGTCCCGGGCCCACAGTCACGCTAGGTTCCAGGCCCACAGTCACGCCAACAGGCTTGCTAGGTTCCTGTTCTACAGGCTCTCCAACAGGCTTGCTCGGCACCTGGCCTACAGGCTTGCTAGGTCCCTGGCCCACAGGCTCTCCAACAGGCTTGCTAGGCTCCTGGCCCACAGGCTCACCAACAGGCTTGCTAGGTTCCTGGCCCACAGGCTCTCCAACAGACTTACTAGGTTCCTGGCCCACAGGCTCTCCAACAGACTTACTAGGTTCCTGTCATACAGGCTCTCCAACATGCTTGCTAGGCTCCTGGGCCACAGGCATGCTAGGTCCTGGGCCCACAGTCACGCAAGGTTCCTGGCCCACAGGCTCGTCAACAGACTTGCTAGGTTCCTGGCCCACAGGCGCTCCAACAGGCTTGCTAGGTTCCTGGCCCACAGGCGCTCCAACAGGCTTGCTAGGTTCCTGGCCCACAGGCTTGCTAGGCTCCTGGCCCACAGGCTCGTCAACAGGCTTGCTAGGTTCCTGGCCCACAGGCTCGCCAACAGGCTTGCTAGGCTCCTGGCCCACAGGCTCGCTAGGTCCCTGGCCTAAAGGCTCGCCAACAGACTTCAGGGCATTGCTGCTCACATTGTGATTCCTGGAAACATACATAGAATATGGCATTACTCAAACCTCAATTATAGGGGTTGTCAAAGTGAAGGCAACAATAGTTACCTCAAGTAGTGGCACTCAATATCAACCATAGCTGCACTGGTCTTCACTATAGAAGTGTTAGCAAGAGGTTTTGGCTCATAGACAAGAGTGAAGGTGTAGATCAGCACGCCCTCCGTCATCTAGGAAGAGAGTCACAAATCATGTATCAGACTAGAATAATGAGTCCCGTTCTTCAGGAAGTTAACCAACAAACGTAACATACCGTCAGCTCACTGCCACAGCCATGCAGCTCTGATTCAAAGGTGAGCACATGAGTTTCAGAGTCCTCCTCAGTGGCAGCACAGCCTCCTAGAGTGATACGCTCTGGCTGGATGAGCCGGCCAATCCCCAGAAGATCCTGCTTCACCTCCACACGGACCACACTCTCCCCACACCGAGCTGCCACACTGTTGGCCGCCACTTGTTTTAGACTCTCAAACACAGTAGAATTGCGGTCATGCATTTCAACCTTAGGATAGCGCCAAGTCAGAGGGTTCTCAAAGGTCTGCTTGGACTGGAAGCTCTCAGGGTCCTCATCCTGGCTAGGTTCCTGTCCCACTGGCTCGCCGCTAGGTTCCTGTTCCACTGGCTCGCCGCTAGGTTCCTGTCCCACTGGCTCGCCGCTAGGTTCCTGTCCCACTGGCTCGCCGCTAGGGTCCTGTCCCACTGGCTCGCCGCTAGGGTCCTGTCCCACTGGCTCGCCGCTAGGGTCCTGTCCCACTGGCTCGCCGCTAGGGTCCTGTCCCACTGGCTCGCCGCTAGGGTCCTGTCCCACTGGCTTGACAACAGGCTCGCTAGGTTCTTGTCCCACAGGCTCACTAGGTTCTTGTCCCACAGGCTCACTAGGTTCTTGTCCCACTGGCTCACTAGGTTCTTGTCCCACTGGCTCACTAGGTTCTTGTCCCACTGGCTCACTAGGTTCTTGTCCCACTGGCTCACTAGGTTCTTGTCCCACTGGCTCGACAACAGGCTCGCTAGGTTCCTGTCCCACTGGCTCACTAGGTTCTTGTCCCACTGGCTCACTAGGTTCTTGTCCCACTGGCTCAACAGGGTCCTCTCCCACAGGCTCTTCCTGCACTGGCTTCTGAGAGTCAAACTGGGCTGGGACTTGATTGTCATGCAGAAACCCCGATCTCGGATAAAACCGTCTGGAGTCCCAAGCATCACTAACAACACAGCCAAAAGCCATGACCAAAAGAAGCACTGCAGACACTTGCCTGAACCCCATCACTGCAATTAGATATTAGTTATTCTTGTCAATACATTCTCAGAGTCTGTCAAACCATTTTATAGCCACAATGTCTGACATAGACCCCACCCCTTCAGCAATCAGCTTGATTATTGTCCAGACCTGATTAATTATACAGGTGCTGAGGAATGTGAAGTTGATTGTCATTTACGTACCATTGGTTGCCTTTGTGCAGGCAAAATCACGTACACCTGGAGCTTTATTGAGGAGGCCTCAACTTTAGAGAGCGTTGATAGAAATGTGTTATGTAGAACAGTCATACTTTTCTATAGTGGATGTTACTCCCAGATCCTGTTGTTGATCTAACCTTGGTAGAGAAAAACAAAGATTGGTCAGAAGTCAGTGATATAGGGAAACTGGTTGACAATAACATTGGTAGAAGTTTTTATGCATTTTCACAGATGGATCCAAGGACTCAGATATTGGGCGCACAGCTAGCAGGCGTTTACGTTCCTGAATTTGATGTGCAGATATGTAGAAGACTAACAGCTAAACTGTTGGCGATAGCAGTTGCCCTCCAGTGGGTGGAGGACGTACAACCTGTCAGAATTATAGTATGTTCAGATTCCCTGTCTGTATTGAATAGTGTATCATCTGGCTAATCTAATAGGAGTGATATACTATTGGAGGTATTAATATTATTATGGAGAATTGAGAGACAGGGTGCAGTGTTGAGGTTCTACTGGGTCCCAGCCTATTTGGTTGTGGAAGGGAATGAAATTGTAGACCAGTTAGCCAAAAGAGCTTTAAAACGAGATATAATTGATATTAATGTTCCACTGGGTAGAGGTGAGGCCAAATGTAAGATCTGAGCCATTTTGATGAATGTGTGGCAGAAGAGATGGGACTCTGAGCCCAAGGGCCGGCATTTATATGCCCTCCAAAGAAAGGTCGCTGGACCAATATCCAAAGGTCAGATTAGGAAGGAAGAGGTGATGTTTGCTCGATTGCGCCTAGGACATTGTACATTGAACTCGTCATCACATCTGGTTGGCAAGCATGTGAATGGTTTGTGTCTGGAGTGTATGGTCGATGAAACGGTGGAGCATGTGTTGTTATATTGTTGTAAGTATGTTGAAGAGAGGGAAAGATTGAAGTGTAGGGTCATTGAGGTTGGATGGGGTTGGACGGGATGGTCTATTAGAAGTTAGTAGGGCTTTTTTTATTTTCTTCGAATGTTATGATGAGTTTATTGGGTATCAAAGAATCAAGGATGCAAGAATTTACTTAGACATTCTGTAGAGATTTTATACCAAGTATTTATTGTATCACGAGCTCGTGGGTTTATCTAACAAACTGACATAGCCTTGCCCCCATTGTCAGTTGAACTGGCCCATACACACAGCTCACAGCTTTTATACTCTTGGTTACACATTTGATGTTATTACTCTTTACCCCAAGTCACTGCTGCAGATTCAAGACGGTCTGTTGACCATGGCTGTCATTATAAAACTAGTTTGTCTTTGGCAGCCGTACAGAAAATACAATGCATCCGTCATAAAATGACCCGATACCTTTGGGGTTCTGATGGCACTGAGGCTGGTCTGTTCTGAAATGAGGCTTTTGGTCTGTCTACAAGGGTGGCTGTAGGAATTCGATGATATCCGAGGCTGCCATCACCTCTTCAGGAGTTGGGTGCTCAGCGCTGCAGTCTGGTGTCAGTCTATGAACTGCCCTCACCCCATCCCTCAGGTGTGCTGCAGTCTGGTTGGTCAGTCTGAGACCACATGACCTGTAGCCTACGGCCCAGACTCCTCCATCACACACAGCCCTCTGGTTCCATAGAGGGGGAGGGGCTTCCCACCTGAGTGGCGCAGTGGTCTAAGGCACTGCATCGCAGTGCTAACTGTGCCACTAGAGATCCTGGTTCGAATCCAGGCTCTGTCGCAGCCAGCCGCGACCGGGAGACTCATGGGCGGCGCACAATTGGCCCAGCGTCGTCCAGGGTAGGGGAGGGAATGGCCGGCAGGGATGTAGCTCAGTTGATAGAGCATGGCGTTTGCAACGCCAGGGTTGTGGGTTCGATTCCCACGGGGGGCCAGTATAAAAAAATAAAAAAATAAAAATAAATGTATTCACTAACTGTAAGTCGCTCTGGATAAGAGCGTCTGCTAAATGACTAAAAATGTAAAATGTAAATAATGGCTGCCCATCCTGTGTTTTCTCTTGATGTGTTGCGGTGCAGAATCAGGTTGCTGACCTACTCCCAACATGTTCTCCAGACCCTGAAGGGCAGGTTACTGCCTATAGCTGTTAACCGTGTGGTCGGTGTATCAAACTAAGCAACTCATTCGCGAAACCCTGAATATTGTATTGAATGTGGAGTGTGCAATTTGAAGAGATTAGTATGAAAATGTATGCACTAACTGTAAGTCGCTCTGGATAAGAGTGTCTGCTAAATGACAAATTTAATGTATGTAAATATATCCTGTCCATCCATCATGCTATCCTAAACATCAGTAATCTCCTTTGACATAAGGAATGTAGACTCCATGGCCCCAAACCACTTATCTAGTAACTCTTCCCTGGTCCACACAATACTATGGCATGACATCATTACACAGAAGTACTGAGTTAGGTAGGAGGATTTAGAAATGTGGAGCTAATGTTGTAAACTGTGATTGACCACACACTCAGCACAGTAGGTGGCGGCATGCACCTTTAACATCTGTTTGAGGACCGCCATTATATCGTGGAAGAAGAATACTTTATTTTCTATAATAATTTTTTATTTAATAACTAGGCAAGTCAGTTAAGAACAAATAATGCTTGAGTAAGGTTGGCTTTTTAGCGTTCATAGCAATGGTTATCAACTGTACTGCAGAACTGGAACGTAAATCACAGAAAATAGATGTTGTGGTGGCAGTAGCAGAGATTTGACTTCAGAAGAGTTACAGTGTGTGTTATGTGATAGTGTCCTGTCCTCTCAGGTCGTTGGCCTGGGGTAGGATCAGACAGGATGAACGTAGTGGAATAAAGTGATGGGTTTTAATGAGTATAGGGTTAGTTGGTAGGGTAATAAAAAGTGTGTGTGTGTGTGTGTATATATATATATATATATATATATATAACACAAAGTGTAATGGATCTATACTATAGTTCAGTTGGGAGCGGTAACGGAACATATTGGATGCCAACCGCCATTAAACCTCACAGAAGAAGAAGAAGCGCTGCCGAGGCGTTGCTGACCCATGCCAAATCTTGGATAGGTTACGTATCCGCTAACCACATCATATGTTATAGCAGGTGTGTCAAACTCATTCCATGGAGGGCCTTGTGTCTGCTGGTTTTTCCTTTCCATTAAGATCTAGACAACCATGTGAGGGTAGTTCCTTACTAATCAGTTACCTTAATTCATCAATCAAGTACAAGGGAGGAGCAAAAACCCGCAGACACTCAGCCCTCCGTGGAACACATGTGTGTTATAGCAACCTGTTCCCGACTGCACAATTGATGACGTGGCATGCAACCATTGGTTGATGCTTGCAAAGTCTGAGCAGGGGAACGCGACCGTGCACTTTCAAGAGCAGCTGAACTCACCAATTACGCATATATTTTTCTGCTGCTAATTAAGAAAAACGGATTGGCAGCTTCATTAAATAGTACCCGCAAAACACCAGTCTCAACGTCAACAGTGAAGAGCCGACTCTGGGATGCTGACCTTCTAGGCAGAGTTGCAAAGAAAAAGCCATATCTCAGACTGCCCATCTTAATCTTTTCAATTTATTGGCCAGTCTGAGATATGGCTTTTTCTTTGCAACTCTGCCTAGAAGGTCAGCATCCTGGAGTCGCCTCTTCACTGTTGAAGTTGAGACTGGTGTTTTGCGGGTACTATTTAATGAAGGTGCCAGTTGAGGACCTGTGAAGCGCCTGTTTCTCAAACTAGACACTCTAACGTATTTGTCCTCTTGCTCAGTTGTGCACCGGGGCCTCCCACTCCTCTTTGTATTCTGATCAGAGCCAGTTTGCGCTGTTCTGTGAAGGGAGTATTACATAGCGTTGTACGAGATCTTCAGTTTCCTGGCAATTTTTGGCATAGAACAGCCTTCATTTCTCAGAACAAGAATAGACTGACGAGTTTCAGAAGAAAGTTATTTGTTTCTGGCCATTTTGATTCTGTAATCGAACCCACAATTGCTGTGTCACGATCGTCGGTGAGAGAGGAGGACCAAGGCGCAGCGTTGAAGGCGAACATATTTATTTAATTAATGATCACACGATCAAAACAACAAAACGATGACGTGACAGTCAATGGTAATACACAAACCAAATACGAACAAGAAACCACACCAAATGAATGCCAAACGGCTACCTAAGTATGACTCCCAATCAGAGACAACGAGCTACAGCCATCTCTGATTGGGAGCCACCCTGGCCAACATAGATATACAAACCCAGAAAGTGAAACCTAGAACACACATAGACTATACACACCCTGGCTCAACATATTAGAGTCCCCAGAGCCAGGGCGTGACATGCTGATGCTCCAGATACTCAACTAGTCTCAAGAAGGCTAGTTTTATTGCTTCTTTAATCAGCACAACAGTTTTCAGTTGTGCTATCATAATTGCAAAAGGGTTTTCTAATGATCAATTAGCCTTTTAAAATGATAAACTTGGATTAGCAAACACAACGTGCTATTGGAACACAGGACTGATGGTTGCTGATATGGGCCTCTGTACGCTTATGTAGATATTCCATAAAAAAATCAGCCGTTTCCATCTACAATAGCCATTTACAACATTAACAATGTCTACACTGTATTTCTGATCAATTTCATGTTATTTTAATGGACACAAAAATTGCTTTTCTTTCGAAAACAAGGACATTTTTAAGTGACCCCAAACTTTTGAACGGTAGTGTAGATACATACATAAATACATACATACATACATATACACATACATACATATAAATACATACATACATATATATACATATCCTTTTCAAAAATATATTTCCCTTTATTACTTTCCAAC